AATAATAATTCCATTTTGTTGGCAATTTCAGAGTTTAACTTGGCAATTTGAATAATTATAGAAGAAACAAAGCAACGAAATAGAAGAGAAGAAGGATTGAGAGAACAATCGGAGAAGAGAAGATGACATTCGAAGAAGAGAAGACAGACTCCGGCGGCGACGGTGGTTGACTTCATGACAGCGGCAGTGTTCCTCACCATAGCGGCGGCGGCGGCGGCGGTCTTCACCATAGCGGCGGTAGTCTTCACCATAGAGGCTGCGATGGTATGACTGGGCTCCTGTGCGAAGGGGAGGAGAAGAGGTTGTGGTGGTCTGGTGGAAGAAGCTGCTTGGGAGAAGAAATAGGGATGTGGAAGAGATACAGATCTGGGAGGAGAAGATAGAGGCGCAGGGAAAAGTTATCGATGAGTTCCGCGTGTGCGTCTAGGGAAAGAAAAGAAAATAAGGGGTAAATGAGTAATTCGGTCCTATTTAGGGAATAAAAACATATACACTCCTATTTTGGAATTTCTGGAACAATTTAGTCCTAACTAGGGCAATTTAGCCAATAATTTTAGATACTCCATCGGCCTCACTAATGACTAAACTTGGCCAACTTTGACTTCTACGTAAAATATTAAAGCAAAAAATGTGTAGTTTAGATTTTGTGCAAATGAGAGAGAATTAATTCCAACCACTTATTTCATACTTTAAAATGAAATTGACAAACTTTTTTGGAACGATCAAATAAGAAATTTGGCAAAGTTTTATGGCACGGAGAGAGTATTAGTTTTTCATAATTTAGCCAATTCAACCATTTTAGTTATAATTTCATAAATTTCAATAGAGATTTTATGAAGTATGTTATCTATAATAAATGGGTGCATAGTATAGCAGGTATGTCATTTGGTTGTAAATAGATCATACAACCTTAAGAAAAAGGATCACCACTAGAATTGTTAATTAACAAGAAAATACATTTACTAATATAAAAAGAACAAAAAAAAACTATAATCTTATTAAAAAATAAATCATTAAAATTGCTATATAAAAGGTACTAGAAAGTATCATACAAATGGAAAAGACACATTTTTTCATATAATAAGTGTTGACATTTTTTAATAGAAGTTAGGGTTCAGGGAAACAAAGAATTAGAGGATCCAAATAGAGAGGTGGTAAGAAATAGTTATCTCTTGAATGCACCAAACCTAAACAATAATTTCAAAATCCATGTGTGTAGCTGTGTATAGAACCGTAAAAGCAGGTTTTGAATAGACTTCTATTAGCAAACTTTAAAATGAACTTCAAACATCTATTAGTGAATATGCAATAATTTCATTAATAGTTAGTTATGCAAAAATCGTTAATAAAAAAGTGAGGATCGGTCATTGGAAAAGGTTATCATCTTCCTTCGTAGCTTTGACCCTTTTTACGCATCAAAAGGGGTATGTGGCGATGGTACCGTGAGTAACAAGTCCAACGAGTTGATGTTACATACAAAGTTTTTTTACGGCCTTCCCGATTAGGGCTGTGAAAATTCGAGACGTGAATTTTACCGTGTAACAGACTTACATGTACACCTTTTTCAGCATGTGATATTTCCATTGAATTTCTACCAATTAGTTCTTAGTTTGCTATTAGTTTGCTATTATAATGACATATATCTGTAATCTATTTATTGTTTTGAGTTTATTGGATTACTATCAAACTTTCCCCCATATAATTGCATTTAAATTATTATAATATACTTCACTCCCGTGCAACGCACGGGTGGAGTAACTAGTTGACAGTAATGGCAGGTGGATTATTGCTTAGTGTTTAGCCTTCGATGTTAATTAAGCACCGACTAGTTAACTCAAATGCCTTGTGTATTTTGGAAGTACTAATTAAACACCGACTAGTTAACTCATCCTCGTGATCTTACTCTTTGGGTCTGTTTGCAACAGCTTCTGCTTTTAAAAAAGTGTTTTTTTTTTAATGAAATGAGGGGAAGTGATTAAATAAAAGATGATAGTGCTTGAGAAAAAAGTGATTTTGAAAAGTAAAAGTAAGTAGTGTTTGGTAAAATAAGTGCTTTTAATTTGTGTAATAGAAAAAGTAAAAGAACTTTTGACGCGGAAGCCGGGAAAAATAAAAGTTGTTGTGCTTTTAAGTGTTTTTTTAAAAACCAAAAGCTGAGAAGTGCTTTGTTAAAAGCAGTTCCAAACCAACCATTTGTCTTACAGGAGTTACATGTAATTAAGCTCATTTCTATATACTAGCTTAGTACGTGGCTGAACTTCATAGGTGAAAGAAAGTAGGGTGAGTTCGATTTCTTTTTTGGGGGTGTTTGGTTAATGGCCTATCAGCTATTTTTTGGCTGTTTTGATCAACATTTGGCATTTTGATCAAATGAATCAACTAATAGAAGTGTTTAGTTAGTTATATAGCTTTTTTATTTAGTTTTTTATCCAAACAGCAAAAAATGAAAAAGCTACAAAACTTAGCTTTTGGTTTTGTCCGATAAACTTTCTCTCTCGATTTCCCTAATCTACCTATGTTGGATGTATTGGTCCTACCAAGGCCTCCCTTCCAATTTATTTGTTGAGGCTTGCACACTCTATTTTACTCTCTCTTGGATACCTTTTCTTTGGTATATATCCTGATCAAATATATACCTATTTGAGTTGACTTACCCACTTGGCTGGCCCCTTTGTTTGCTGTCCGCTGCAACCTATTTGTCTTGGCTCATACATGTGAACTTCCTTTGTTTGAGCAGCATGTGAGTGTCTTTTGTTTTAACCTCACCCGTGACTTCCTTGGTAGCCTATTTGTACCCCTTGCTTCTCCCATTGTGAAGCAGCCTGCGCAGAAAGTATTCTAGAGAGAACAGTGCTCCCTTCTTCTTCCTTTCCTTTGTGTGAGAGTGTAGAGAGGTCCTTTGTGGAGAGTAGAGAGTGGTGTGCTATAGCCTCCTCCTAGTGTGGTGTGTGAGAGTCTGTGTAGATAGACCTGAGCCGGAGACGGATATACGATCCTTACAGTGGTATCGAAGCCTGGAACCGCCGTCTGACGCCGTCCGCCGCCGCCGTCCGCCGCTGCCATCGATTGGAGCTCGCAGGAAGTCCTTGAAGCTCGGCCGGAGGTTTCTTCGTTGTTCTCTGCCCGTCGGATTCTTGAAACCACAGACGTAAGCCTCATCCCCTGGGAATTATCCCAGTTCGAAATTGGTGCTGGAAGTTTCAGAAATTGACTGGAGAATCTCCACCGGAGCTGTTGCCGAGCCGCCGTCGCCATCCGAGCCGGAATCTGTAGTAGGAGCCGTCGTCGTGGGGAAGCTCGCCGCAGGGAATCTCGCCGCCGCAGGGAAGTTGCCCGCCGGAAGTCGTCGCTGGGTGTGCGCCAGTCGCCTGAGTCTTCGTCGGTTTCGATCATCGTCGTTCATCACTGGTCGCAGGGTCCTGTTCATCGCGCAGGGAACAGGCACGAAGAGTACTACTTCGTTATTCCTCTGGCCCGCTGGGTTAACTGGAGGCGAACTGGGGTAGTGGGCTACTGAACTGCTTATTGGGCTTCTGGCTTGGGCTGTTGATTTGGTGGACCTGGGCTGGCATTTGTTAGAGTACTGAAGGAGCCTCGGATTTGGTTTGCTGCTGAACTGGGCTTCTGGATTTCTGGGCTGGAGTGCTACTGAAGTGCAGCTGGACTTGGACTGCTGGACCGGGTCAACTGGTCAACGCCGGTCAACGGCAGTCAACACTGGTCAACAATCAGTCAACTTCTCGGAAAATCCCAATTTTTTTTTTAAAAAAATTGGGTAGGTAAGGTCGAAACGCTCTCCTAGGGTTTCACGAAGGTAAGTTTCTGATAAACTTCCTATTTATGGCATTCCAGTTTTAATTTAATTTATTCCCCCTCCCCGTGGGCCGCCGGTTGATTTAATCCCGGCCGCCAACCCCCCAGGTACGTTCTAAACCCTCTCCTTTGTGGTTGATTGTTTTAGTTGATTAATTAAATTGCTAAGTGTTATTTAATTTAATTTGTTATGCGTAGGGGTGGTTTATTGGGAGATAGGGGTAGAATTAATTAAATTAAATTTTCTGCCCAGAATTGTTTAATTGCCAAAATGTCCATTTTGCTATGTGTTGCATGCTGCCCCGGGGTCATTAAAGTGAATACTTTATAACCCGGGTTGGATTATTTTTCTGTCAATTCTGTTTGTTTAGCTTTGTGTTCCTTTGTGGTTGATACCATGACTCCTAATCAGTATGGTATGCTTCCATTTAATGGAAAAATAGATTTTGATATTTGGAAACAGAAAATTAAGTGTGTTTTAATACAGCAAAAAGTTTTCAGAGCTGTCACTGGTATTTTCCTTGAATCAGAAGATAAGGCTAAGCAAACTGAAATGAACGAAACTGCTTGTTCTACTATTTACTTGAATCTGTCTGATTCTATGCTTAGGAAAGTGGGTATTCTTGAGTCTGCTAAGGAGTTGTGGGAGAAATTGGATAGTCTCTATATTGATACCTCTTTGCCCGAGAAGTTGTTCTTACTAGAGAAATTCTTTAGGTTTAGGCTTGACCTGACTAAGGATATAGATGAGAACCTGGATGTGTTTAATAAACTGATACAGAATATCAAACAGGCAGGTGATAAACACATAGATGATTATACTCCCATAGTGTTACTTAATGCCATTCCCGACTCTTATAATGATGTTAAGTCCGCTATTAAGTATGGTAGGGATGAGATTTCGTTAGACATTGTTGTGAATGTGTTAAGGAGTAAGGAATTAGACTTGAAGCATGCTAGGGGTAGTTCTAGTCAGTCCAGGGACTCCGGTGAGGCTATGTTTGTTAGGGGTAGATCTAAGGGTAGGTCTACGAACTCTAAGCAAAATAGTCAAGGTAAGAACTGTCACGCCCCGGACCTTCCCGGACACGTCAACAACCCGCCGCACAATACGAATAGTCAACCGCAGTCCAACACATTCATATTATACAAGGCGTCATGAATATCATTCACACATAAGTCATCCATAAACATACATAATAAACAATTGAATACGCAGCGGAAAACATTGTTTAAAACAAAAGGGCCACACAGGGCAAACATGAGCACGCAGGCTCTAAAGTAAAATATCCATGAGCATGTTTATTAATGTTCTAAAACAGAATGGAGGAAGCACGAACCAAGTCTTCTCTCCGGGGAAATCACTCGGGCAACGAGCACAGGAAGCAAGCTCTAGCCTCAACCTGAAATGGTGGTGGGACGCCCCCGAAGGGGTCAGTACTCTATACGGCTATAAAGTACTGGTGTGGCAGGCATCTAATAGATATACAACAAGTATTTCAAACACAAGACCCTCAAGTAGGGTGATAGTACATTATGATTGTAACCCTAAGTTACCCCGTTTAAAAATATACTTACTTTATATAAAAGTCAAGTAGTCGGCCCGTGGGCCCGTTTTCATTTGGAAATCACCATTCCCAACCCCGTGGCTATAAGCCACGACAACTCCTAGAGTCCAACCCTAGTACATGACATTGTATTCTAGAGCTCGGCTCTACCACATCACCATACAATTCATATACCTCGGGTCAATTTCCCTACCTTGCGTTCTAGAGCTCGGCTCTATCACATCACCACGCAAGTCCTAGAGCTCGGCTCTAGCTATACAATACATAGACTCCAAGTCTACACCTTACATGCATTCTAGAGCTCGGCTCTATCACATCACCATGCATTAAGGTCCAATTCTCAAGCAACCCTATGCCTAGAATTAACATATCATTAAACTACCATGGGTCATCCTTAAAGACTTCCCATAACTCAACCTTAGTTCCATACTAAGTATTATATACACTTGAACTATATTCAAGTACCTTTCATACAATCCAATCCCTAGGATCAATTTAATCAACAAGTCCCAATAATCACTAACTAGTATTTCAATACTATTAAGATTATTGTTATCATACCATTATCCTCATTATTTGTAATTCTCTACATATTTATAATTATGTAGCAGCAACTTAAGTATTTAATCTCAATACACAAATATTCATTTATGTATCCACATAATTCATACATGAGTAAAATACCCATTTTCACAAAATGGTTCTTTTATACTCATTTAATCTCATATTATTCATACCTTCTCAAATCATTTCAAATTTCATTCTTTGGCAACTATATCAATATTCCATCAATATATAATCATCATAATCCATGAAAAATCATGATTTAAGCATTTAGGTAATCTCATGCTTAACCTACAAGTTGTAAGCAATTAGATGTCAATCCTCACCTCAATTGAGCTTTAAACTTTCCCTTCTTGGTCCAATGGTCAAAGCTTTGGTCAAGGTGGATTTGGAACTGATTCCTTGCTTGGAATGGAGTGTTAAACAGCCCCTTCAAAGTGCTAGTTCAACTCCTAACCGAAAATGCAAAAACAGTCCCTAGAACGGGTGTTTCCCGACGAATTCGTTCCCTAACCTTTCAAGGTTTTGTCTAGGTTAGTATCTAACCTTTCCAACAATTAAAGTCACATAATAATAACATTTTATACACTTCAATCAGTGTATAATAGTTCTTCAATCATTTATATGATTTAGACAATAGAGAGGAAGGTTTTGGATTCAAACTTACTTTGAATACAAAAACGTATTCTGCGAGGTCGTGTTTTGATCGGTCGATTTGGAGGCCTTACACTACTCCGATTTATGCAAACCAGACCTTCACGGATTCCTCGTCTTGAGAGCTTTCTTTTGGTATATCATACGCCTTATTTGGACGAGTGAAGCTCAAGTTATGGATCAAACAAGTAGCCCTATTTTCTGGAAAACGAGTCCTGCGGCCAGCTTCTCTCTTCACCTCTCCCTTGGAGTATGTGGCTCTCTCTTTCTCTCTTATCTTGGGAGTTCGAATGGGGTGTAGGGGGAGTGTATTAGGAGGCCTCAATCATGCTAAGAGAGCATGTGGTTCACCAAAAAGAAGGGTAGGGTATTTGATTGCAATCAAACATGGTGTGGACCTCCTCTTTTATTTCCTTTTTGTAATGTTGTAGTTCATGAGTCAAAAGTCCGCCCCACATCTTTGTCTCACCCATTTTCCTTTGTTTTGCAGGTACCAAGGTCATGTGGGATGGTCCCCAAATGGTCCCATTCAATTTGGGGTCCAAAATGTCTATCAATACTTCCAAAAAAAAATGGGAAGATGGGTCCTATTGTTTTATCTTTGTCAAAGATGTCTTTTTGTACTCATCCTAATTTATTTAGAACAAGTCAACTTCCTAAATCACATTATTGACCTCCAATATGTGTAGGCTCATCCCAATAATTTACTTGATGGATGTTATAGAAGGAAAATCCTACTCCCATTATTTAGCTCAAAAATGCCAAAGATGGGGTTATAGGCATTTGTATTCTTCTTTAATCCTTCGATCACTTATATAGATAATGTTGGACTCTTTTATTTATTAATAAGTCCCGAGTAAGTATTTGCGAAACCCGACACTAATGTACGAGTTTGAACAGTACGATATTCAACCATGCACTACGTAGAACATTGATCGTTTTACAAAATGTTTGGGAATCAGAAATCCAATACATAAGCTTTGAATATTCAAATCAAATTTTCAAGGACCTTCGGGAGCGGTGTCACAAGTTCACCCCCCCTTAACAGGAATTTCGTCCCCGAAATTCACAGCTTTACTCAAATAGGAATGCATACTGCTTCCTCATCAAGGCTTCTGTTTCCCAAGTCTCTTCTTCGACCCGGTCACTCTTCCAAAGGACTTTAACCATTGGAACTTCTTTACTCCTCAGTTTCTTCACTTTTCTGTCAATAACTCTTACCGGTTGCACGGCATAGTTCAAATCTTCACGTACCTCCACGGGCGGCTTCTCCAACACATGAGAAGGATCATGCACATACTTCTTAAGCATGGACACGTGAAATACATTATGAATCTTCTCCAACTCAGGAGTCAACTGTAGACGATATGCTACGGCCCCAACCCTCTCTATAATTCTGAATGGGCCTATATATCGTGGGTTAAGCTTTCCTCGGGTTTGGAATCGAATGATTCCTTTCCAAGGAGAAACTTTCAGGAATACCTCGTCGTCAACCTTAAACTCTAAGGTCCTTCGACGCTTATCCGCATAACTCTTTTGCCTATCCTGAGCCGCCTTGAGTCTCTCTCGAATCAACTTCACCTTTGACTTGGTGACCTCAACCAACTCAGTACCCTCGAGTTTGGCCATGCCAACCTCATCCCAGCATAATGGTGTACGGCATCTCCTCCCATACAATGCCTCGTATGGAGGCATGCCGATGCTTGCCTGATAACTGTTGTTATAGGCAAACTCCACAAGTGCTAAGTGGTTGTCCCAACTTCCTTGGAACTCTAATGCGCAAGCCCTCAGCATGTCTTCTAAGATCTGTATGACTCTTTCAGACTGCCCGTCCGTCTGTGGGTGGAAAGCAGTACTGAACTTCAACCTCGTTCCCATAGACTCCTGAAATTTCGGCCAAAAACGTGATGTGAATCGTGGGTCTCTATCGGATACAATGGTCACTGGAACCCCATGTAGCCTCACGATCTCATCCGTGTACAATTTGGCTAACCTCTCGAGTGGGTAAGTAGTGTTGATAGGTAAGAAGTGTGCACTCTTTGTGAGCCTATCTACAACAACCCAAACTGCATCATAATTCCTGATCGTCCGTGGCAACCCTACCACAAAATCCATAGTCACGTGTTCCCACTTCCATTCAGGAATGGAAAGTGGTTGCAATAAGCCCGCTGGATGCTGATGCTCTGCCTTAACTTGTTGACAAGTAAGGCATCGACTGATATATTCGGCTATTTCTCTCTTCATACCTGACCACCAGTAACTCTCCTTCAGGTCACGGTACATCTTCGTGCCCCCCGGGTGCATGGCATAAGCCGATGAATGAGCTTCCTCTAAGATGGACTTTCGGAGCTCGTCATCTGCCGGTACACACACTCGGTCACGAAATAATAAGAGACCGTCATCTCTTTCTCGGAAGTCCTCCACCGGTCCCGCTTGCATGCGTTCCCGGATCTTCATAATTTCTTCGTCGGTTTCCTGACCCTTCTTGATCTCATCAAGTAAAGTGGGTCTCACCTCAAATCGTGCCAATAAGGCACCATCGCTGGATACCTCCAGTTGGGCTCTTAATGCCCTCAAATTAGCTAGCAATGGCCCAGACGAGCCTTTCCGGCTCAAAGCATCTGCCACCACGTTAGCCTTGCCTGGGTGATACTCTATCACCAGATGGTAGTCTTTTATCAACTCCATCCACCGTCTCTGTCTCATGTTTAGCTCTTTCTGAGTAAACACGTATTTCAAGCTCTTATGATCGGTATATATGTGACATGTCTCTCCGTAGAGATAATGTCTCCAAATCTTCAGTGCAAACACCACCGCTCCCAGCTCCAAATCATGGGTAGGATAATTTACCTCATGCTTCTTCAACTGTCGTGAAGCATAGGCAATTACCCTCCCTTCCTGCATCAGTACACACCCAAACCCCTGGATGCTCGCGTCACTATAGACATCGTACCCCACACCCTGTTTGGGTAATGCAAGTACCGGTGCCTCGGTCAACCGTTTCTTTAGTTCCATGAACCCCTTCTCACATTTGTCATCCCATACAAACTTAGCTCCTTTACGAGTGAGCTTCGTCAATGGTGATGCCAAAACAGAGAACTTCTCCACGAACTTCCTGTAGTAGCCTGCCAATCCAAGGAAACTACGAATTTCCTTAACGTTCTTTGGCCTCTCCCACTCGGTAATGGCTTCTATCTTCTTGTTATCAACAGCAATTCCCGATCCAGAAACCACGTGCCCGAGAAAGCCAATCTCCTTAAGCCAAAATTCACATTTAGAAAATTTGGCATAGAGTTGCTTCTCCCGTAGTGTCTCAAGAACAAGTATCAAGTGCTCCTCATGCTCTTCCTCACTCTTTGAGTAGATCAAGATGTCATCAATGAACACAATCACGAATCGGTCCAAGTATTTGTGAAATACTCGGTTCATTAAGTCCATGAATGCCGCCGGGGCGTTTGTTAACCCAAACGACATAACAAGGAACTCAAAATGCCCATATCTCGTGCGGAAAGCACTCTTCGGTATGTCATCCTCCTTAATCTTCAATTGATGGTACCCCGACCTCAAGTCAATCTTTGAAAACACGGTTGCTCCTCGTAGTTGATCAAACAAGTCATCAATCCTAGGCAAGGGATACCTATTCTTGATTGTGACCTTGTTCAGTTGACGATAGTCAATGCACATTCGAAGTGTTCCATCCTTCTTTTTCACAAAAAGGACCGGTGCCCCCCATGGGGAGTGGCTTGGTCTGATGAAACCGCTATCCAAAAGCTCTTGCAATTGGGTTTTTAACTCGTTAAGTTCAGCGGGTGCCATCCGGTATGGCGGTATGGAGATTGGTTTGGTACCCGGCTCGACCTCGATCACAAATTCAATCTCTCTGTCAGGTGGAAGCCCCGGTAGGTCTTTAGGGAAGACATCCGGATACTTACAAACCACCCTCACATCATCGATGTTCGTTCCCTCTTTGGTTTTGTCAACCACGTATGCTAGATATGCGTGGCATCCCTTCCTCATCATATTTCTCGCTCTCACGGCGGATATGATACAACTATTTGATTTGCCGCGGTCCCCCTCAAAGCGTAGGGTGTCCCCATGTGTGCCTTCGAGTTCCAACACCTTTGTGTAGCAATCTACCCTAGCATGATGCTTTTCTAGCCAATCCATCCCTAGGATTGCATCGAACTCCATCATACTCAGCGGTACGAAATCACACGTCAAGGTTTGGCCACCGATTTCCACCATACAAGATGGATAGTAATTGTTTCTTTCAACGTCTTCCCCTAGTGGGGTTGATACCACTAAGGTTTGTGTCATTGGTATTGATTGCATCTCTAAGCTCTCGGCAAACGCCTCACTCACGAATGAACGTTGCGCTCCGGTATCGATAAGGATTCGTGCATCCTTCCCATTAATCTTTAATGTTCCTACATTTATACACCATGTAAGATACCTTTTCTAATGGTTTAGGACACTTTTTGGAGGTTAATAGGTTCATATAGATGTTCGGAATCAAACGGGGGTCCAATCGTAGAAGAACGAGAGGAAAAACTTAGGTTTCGGGCGGCTGGGGTCCACGCACGGTCGTGCGTGGGACACGCACGGTCGTGCGTGCATGGGAAAAAAATTCGCTTCCGGCTACTGCCGGTTACGCACGGTCGCGCGTACCCGGACACGCACGATCGTGCGTCCACGCACGGCGTGCGTACCGGCACGCACGGTCGTGCGTCCTGCGCGAACATCACCCGGAACCACTGCCCCCTACGCACGATCGTGCGTGGGGTTGGACGCACGATCGTGCGTCCCTGTTTTTGGTCAGTTCTGGCCCGAATTTCGCCGTTTGACCCCGTAATGGCTCGCACTCAATCCCTATGACTTATGTCATCAATTTATGGATTAACTATGGACAAAATACAATTGTGCAAGAGGCAATACCTGCAACCGAGTCCGGGTTGGCTCGAGCATCCGCCTCCGTCATCGCATAAACTCTAGCTTGAGTTCTTCCTTGATTCACGGATGGCGCGTTGCTCGCACTCGCTCCCCCATGTCCCCGGCTCGCTTGAGAAGCTCCGGTTTGATTCCGTGTACCCGTCGGGCCACTGCTCGGTCCCGATGTCCTTGTCCCACCCAATTGTGGGCAATGCGCCTTCAAATGCCCGGCATCCCCACATTGAAAGCATCTAGGGGGGTCGCGACATTTACCGGAGTGGTTCCTCTTGCAATTGTTGCAACGAGTTACCACCGAGGTTTGTGACCTCGAGCCTTGCCCACTCGGGCCTTGATTCCCCCTAGACGGTGGCGGCGGTGCCCGGAAAGATCCTCCTCCATGGTTCCCCTTTTTGTTGGGACCTTGGGAGCCATGACTCTCCCATTTTCTCTTTTTCGCCTCCTCGGCGTCTCTCTTCTTCCTCTCCTCCCACTGTTTCTCCCCCTTCAACGCTTGGTCAACCACTTGGGCGAAGGTCATATTTGGCAATTGTGTTGCCCTATCACGTATCTCCAAGTCAAGGGCGTCCCAAAAGTGGTTCACCATGCGGTTCTCGTCACAAGCATACTCCGGTATGTAGTCGGCGAGATCCCGGAACTTGTACTCAAGCTCCTTCACTGACATGTTACCCCCTTGGGTTAGGAGGGTGTATTCCCTCACCTTCTTATTCACCTCGAAATCAGAATAGTATTGGGCAAAGAACTCCCGTTGGAAGTCCTCCCAAACGACGGTCTCACCGTACTTGTTCTTGGTTCCATCCCACCACTTGGATGCCATCCCCTCGAGCAATCTTACCGCAATTCTCAGTTTGAGATTCGGCGCGATTTGCATGTCAAGGGCCGCTTCATTTAGCCTCTTGATCCATTGTGCTGCCACTGAAATGTCCCCTGCTCCATCAAAGGGTTTGCACCCCAAATCTCTTGCTTCTTTGATGTATTTGGAGATCCTTATGGTTGGACCCCCATCATTTTGGCCTCCACGTGGTTCCACATGGACTCTAGATGCACCATGACTTCCTCCTCGTGAAGCCATGCCCGAAGGTTGCCCAGCCCGGCGCCTTCGGCGTTCCCTCCTCTCTTCACGCTCACGGTGATATTGTTGGAGTAGTGCCTCAATCCGCGCTAAGGAGCCGTTGTCCTCCTCATCACTTACATCATCATCATCCCCTTCATAAGGGGTTTCAACCGGCTCTGTTTCCGGCCGATAGGTCGAGTCCTCATAGGACCAGTAGCTGTCACTTTCGGTGCTCACATGACCGTCACTCACGGTCCGTGATTGGCCTCCACGGCCCGCTCCTCCAGATGCCCTAGAGGTCCTACGACTGCCTTGCCCAGTCTCCTCGGGTGCACGGCCCAAAGGGTTCCTCCTAGTTACCTTGCCACCACGGTCCATTTCTGAAAGAAATTTGGAAAGAGTCGTTAGACTCGTATCAAATGTCAATTGACGGATAGGTACTTAAGACACATTTTGGCTCGAGTCACCGCCATACCAATTGCTAAGGGTACCATCTTAACAATTAGAGACCTTGCAACCCAAGTACCAAAAGCTCTCCAAGTACAAAACTTCTATGCTCATGGTTTTCAAAATCTTTCCAAAAAGAGAATTTTGAGACTTCATTATGAAGTTTATGGACTAAGGCTCTGATACCAACTTAATTGTCACGCCCCGGACCTTCCCGGACACGTCAACAACCCGCCGCACAATACGAATAGTCAACCGCAGTCCAACACATTCATATTATACAAGGCGTCATGAATATCATTCACACATAAGTCATCCATAAACATACATAATAAACAATTGAATACGCAGCGGAAAACATTGTTTAAAACAAAAGGGCCACACAGGGCAAACATGAGCACGCAGGCTCTAAAGTAAAATATCCATGAGCATGTTTATTAATGTTCTAAAACAGAATGGAGGAAGCACGAACCAAGTCTTCTCTCCGGGGAAATCACTCGGGCAACGAGCACAGGAAGCAAGCTCTAGCCTCAACCTGAAATGGTGGTGGGACGCCCCCGAAGGGGTCAGTACTCTATACGGCTATAAAGTACTGGTGTGGCAGGCATCTAATAGATATACAACAAGTATTTCAAACACAAGACCCTCAAGTAGGGTGATAGTACATTATGATTGTAACCCTAAGTTACCCCGTTTAAAAATATACTTACTTTATATAAAAGTCAAGTAGTCGGCCCGTGGGCCCGTTTTCATTTGGAAATCACCATTCCCAACCCCGTGGCTATAAGCCACGACAACTCCTAGAGTCCAACCCTAGTACATGACATTGTATTCTAGAGCTCGGCTCTACCACATCACCATACAATTCATATACCTCGGGTCAATTTCCCTACCTTGCGTTCTAGAGCTCGGCTCTATCACATCACCACGCAAGTCCTAGAGCTCGGCTCTAGCTATACAATACATAGACTCCAAGTCTACACCTTACATGCATTCTAGAGCTCGGCTCTATCACATCACCATGCATTAAGGTCCAATTCTCAAGCAACCCTATGCCTAGAATTAACATATCATTAAACTACCATGGGTCATCCTTAAAGACTTCCCATAACTCAACCTTAGTTCCATACTAAGTATTATATACACTTGAACTATATTCAAGTACCTTTCATACAATCCAATCCCTAGGATCAATTTAATCAACAAGTCCCAATAATCACTAACTAGTATTTCAATACTATTAAGATTATTGTTATCATACCATTATCCTCATTATTTGTAATTCTCTACATATTTATAATTATGTAGCAGCAACTTAAGTATTTAATCTCAATACACAAATATTCATTTATGTATCCACATAATTCATACATGAGTAAAATACCCATTTTCACAAAATGGTTCTTTTATACTCATTTAATCTCATATTATTCATACCTTCTCAAATCATTTCAAATTTCATTCTTTGGCAACTATATCAATATTCCATCAATATATAATCATCATAATCCATGAAAAATCATGATTTAAGCATTTAGGTAATCTCATGCTTAACCTACAAGTTGTAAGCAATTAGATGTCAATCCTCACCTCAATTGAGCTTTAAACTTTCCCTTCTTGGTCCAATGGTCAAAGCTTTGGTCAAGGTGGATTTGGAACTGATTCCTTGCTTGGAATGGAGTGTTAAACAGCCCCTTCAAAGTGCTAGTTCAACTCCTAACCGAAAATGCAAAAACAGTCCCTAGAACGGGTGTTTCCCGACGAATTCGTTCCCTAACCTTTCAAGGTTTTGTCTAGGTTAGTATCTAACCTTTCCAACAATTAAAGTCACATAATAATAACATTTTATACACTTCAATCAGTGTATAATAGTTCTTCAATCATTTATATGATTTAGACAATAGAGAGGAAGGTTTTGGATTCAAACTTACTTTGAATACAAAAACGTATTCTGCGAGGTCGTGTTTTGATCGGTCGATTTGGAGGCCTTACACTACTCCGATTTATGCAAACCAGACCTTCACGGATTCCTCGTCTTGAGAGATTTCTTTTGGTATATCATACGCCTTATTTGGACGAGTGAAGCTCAAGTTATGGATCAAACAAGTAGCCCTATTTTCTGGAAAACGAGTCCTGCGGCCAGCTTCTCTCTTCACCTCTCCCTTGGAGTATGTGGCTCTCTCTTTCTCTCTTATCTTGGGAGTTCGAATGGGGTGTAGGGGGAGTGTATTAGGAGGCCTCAATCATGCTAAGAGAGCATGTGGTTCACCAAAAAGAAGGGTAGGGTATTTGATTGCAATCAAACATGGTGTGGACCTCCTCTTTTATTTCCTTTTTGTAATGTTGTAGTTCATGAGTCAAAAGTCCGCCCCACATCTTTGTCTCACCCATTTTCCTTTGTTTTGCAGGTACCAAGGTCATGTGGGATGGTCCCCAAATGGTCCCATTCAATTTGGGGTCCAAAATGTCTATCAATACTTCCAAAAAAAAATGGGAAGATGGGTCCTATTGTTTTATCTTTGTCAAAGATGTCTTTTTGTACTCATCCTAATTTATTTAGAACAAGTCAACTTCCTAAATCACATTATTGACCTCCAATATGTGTAGGCTCATCCCAATAATTTACTTGATGGATGTTATAGAAGGAAAATCCTACTCCCATTATTTAGCTCAAAAATGCCAAAGATGGGGTTATAGGCATTTGTATTCTTCTTTAATCCTTCGATCACTTATATAGAAAATGTTGGACTCTTTTATTTATTAATAAGTCCCGAGTAAGTATTTGCGAAACCCGACACTAATGTACGAGTTTGAACAGTACGATATTCAACCATGCACTACGTAGAACATTGATCGTTTTACAAAATGTTTGGGAATCAGAAATCCAATACATAAGCTTTGAATATTCAAATCAAATTTTCAAGGACCTTCGGGAGCGGTGTCACAAGAACACTAGTCAGTCTGGGAGGAAGAGGAGCAAATCTAGGAAGAGAGTGTGTTACAATTGTGGTAACACTGGCCATTTCATTAAGGATTGCCCCCATCCTAAGAAGACCGAGCATGCTAGTGTAGCTGTTGATAAATGTGACCTTGGTGATATTTTGATGGTTTGTGACCATGTTAATTCTGTGAGAAATTCCCTGTCTGAGCATGAATGGCTTATTGACTCTGGTTGTACTTATCACATGTCCCCCTTTAGAGATTTGTTTTCTACTTATGAATTATGTGATAGTGGCTACGTTTCCTTAGCTGGTAATAAGAGATGTAATGTGCTTGGTGTTGGTGATATATGTCTGAAATTTTCTTGTGGCTATGTGTTTACCATTAAGAATGTGAGGCATGTCCCTGATTTGTGTCATAACTTGTTATCTGTTGCTGCTTTGGAGAGTAGTGGTTTACAGGGAAAGTGGGGGAATGGTTGTATGAAAATTTTGAAAAATTCTCTTGTTTTGTTCAAAGGTGAGAAGGTGAATAACCTTTATGTGTGTCATGATAAACCTTTTGCTGAGTCTGTGAATGTTGTATGTTCTAATAAGACCTCTTTGTGGCATAATAGGCTAGGACATATGAGCAATAAGAGTTTAGATGTCATGCGTAGGGCTGGTTATTTTGGTAAGGACTCTGTGACTTCTGTGCCTTTCTGTGAATCATGTGTGTTAGGCAAGCAGCATAGAGTCAGCTTCCCTCCTTCCACTTACCCTAATCAGTCTAAATGTTCGTCTGTGCTTGAATATGTTCATGCCGATGTTATGGGTTCTGCCAGTGTTCCTACCCACGGGGGTAGGAAATATTTCCTTTCTATTATTGATGACTTTTCTAGGAAGGTGTGGTTTTGCCTTTTAGAACACAAGTCTGATGTGTTTGGGAGGTTTAGGGAGTGGAAAACCCTAGTTGAAAACCAAACTGGCAGGAAGGTTAAAACCCTTAGGACCGATAACGGGTTAGAGTTCCGTAATAAGGAGATGGATAAGCTGTGTGTGGATTGTGGGATAAAAAGGCACAAAACTGTGTCTTATACTCCCCAACAGAATGGGATAGCAGAGAGAATGAATAGGTCTCTGTTCGATAAAGTTAGAAGCATGTTAGCTACCTCTGGTTTGTCTAAGAAATTCTGGGGTGAAGCAGTCACTACTGCTGCCTATTTGGTTAATAGGTCCGTGTCTGTCCCTCTTGGTGGTAAGTGTCCTGAAACCGTCTTTACCGGTAAGCCTCTTGATCTGTCTAACCTTCGGGTGTTTGGTTGTGCAGCGTATGCACATCAACAGGGTGACAAGTTGGATCCTAGGTCTAAGAAATGTGTCTTCCTAGGTTATCCAGAAGGGTAAAGGGTTACAGGTTATGGGATAGGAACCAGGTAGGCTTTAAAGTGGTCCTTAGTAGAAATGTGGTGTTTAATGAAACTAATTTTCCTTGCTTGACCGAGTCTGTTTCTAATCCTGAGTCTAGGTCTGATAGTACTCCTAGTGAGGTGGAGTCTGTCCCTGTTGCTGCTAGTCCTTTATCTGTTGATCCTGTTATTTCTGATGATATTATTATGCATGATTCTGATTACTCTGAGCATGATAGTCCCACCACCTCGAGTGAGGTGGAGCATTTGCATGATACTGAGCATGATTTGCATGATATGGGTGCCGAATCTGATTTTCATGATAACAATAATTTTCATGAGTTGCATGTGGAGCCTAGAAGTGATAATTTGCATAATTATCAACTTGCTAGAGATAAGAGTAGAAGGGCTATCAAGAGAACTGCTGATAGTATGCCTGATTATGCTTTCATTGTGCATGATACTTCTATGTTTGCATTTTCTGTGTTTGAATCCCTAGAGCTGAATGAACCCAAGACCTACCGTGAAGCCTTAGGTTCCAAAGAGTCTCAGAAATGGATTAGTGCCATGAAAAGTGAGATGGACTCTTTGAGAGTGAACCAGACTTGGACCCTTGTACCTAGACCCCCCAACTATTCGGTAGTTGAGTGTAAGTGGTTGTTTAAGGTTAAGGAAGAACCTAGTGATGTTAGGTTTAAGGCTAGGTTGGTTGCAAAGGGGTTTACTAAAAAAGAGGGGGTAGATTATGCAGAAATCTTTGCTCCTGTTGTTAAATTCACCACTATTCGTATGATGCTTGCTTTAGTTGCTCACCATGACTGGGAAATGAAACAAATGGATGTAACTACTGCATTTTTGCATGGTGAATTGGATAAAACAATTTTTATGACCCAACCTGAGGGCTTTGTGGATCCCAAGAGAAGTGAGCATGTCTGTTTGCTTAGGAAGGCTTTGTATGGCCTGAAGCAATCCCCTAGGCAGTGGAACATCAAATTTGATAAATGCATGATATCTTTGAAGTTCCAAAAATCTGTTTGTGATCATTGCCTGTATTTCAAGAATACTTCCTCTGTGCCTGTATTTTTGTTACTCTATGTGGATGACTTGCTGATAATTAGTCCTTCTCTGATTGCTATTAAAGATGTGCAAAAATGTCTTTGTGCGAATTTTGCCATGAAAGACCTAGGTGATGCCAAGAGGATCCTAGGCATAAACATTGTTAGGGACAGGAGTAAGCGTACTCTTACTTTGAATCAGATTTCTTACATAGAAAAAGTTTTGAGTAAATTCAATATGTTATCTGCTTCTCCTGTTAATGTCCCTTTGGCATCTCACTTTGTGTTAAGTAAGGACCAGTCTCCCAAGACTGCTCCTGAAATTGAGAAAATGAAATATGTGCCTTATTCCAGTGCAATAGGGTCGGTGATGTATCTTATGGTTAGCACTAGACCTGATATTGCATATGCGGTTAGTTGCTTGAGTAGATATATGTCCAACCCTGGTTTGCCCCATTGGAATGCTCTTAAGTGGTTGCTTAAATATCTAATTTCTACTGTGAAGCATGGATTAATTTTCTCTAAATGTGCTAGTGGTATTGAATTGATTGGTTATGTTGATTCTAACTATGCAAATGATAGAGATAACAGGAAGTCGACCACTTCTTATGTTTTTACTTTGTGTGGCTCTTGCATTAGTTGGAAGTCTCAACTTACAGCCTATTGTGGCCCTTTCTACCACTGAGTCCGAGTATGTTGCAGCCACAGAAGCGTTTAAGGAAGCCATCTGACTCAAACGTCTTGTCTCCGAAATTGGGTTTCTCAAAATGGGAGTTACCATTTTCTCGGATAGCCAATCGGCTATCCAACTTTGCAAAAATCCTGTATTTCATGATAGAACTAAGCATATTGATGTTAGGTTCCGTTTCATACGTGATATTGTTGATGCAGGTGGAGTCAAGCTGTGCAAGATCCCGTCGGAGTTTAACCCCGCGGATATGGGTACCAAGTGTCTTTCTGCTGAGAAGCACTTGTCCTGTAAACGCATGTTAAACTTTGACTGTGGATAACTGTGGATTTCGTAATAAAGTGTTTGCCCGTTGTGTCTTTTGATATTCCGGGTGACCCGGCGATGATGAGTCTTGCACAACTTTGTATTGTTACTCTACACCACCTAGGACCAATAAGGTGGAGAATGTTGGAGGTATCGGTCCTATCAAGGCCTCCCTTCCACTTTATTTGTTGAGGCTTGCACACTTTATTTTACTCTCTCTTGGATACCTTTTCTTCGGTATATATCCTGATCAAATATATACCTATTTGAGTTGACTTACCCACTTGGTTGGCCCCTTTGTTTGCTGTCCATTGCAACCTCTTTGTCTTGGCTCATACATGTGAACTTCCTTTGTTTGAGCAGCATGTGAGTGTCTTTTGTTTTAACCTCACCTGTGACTTCCTTGGCAGCCTATTTGTACCCCTTGCTTCTCCCATTGTGAATTAGCCTGCGCAGAAAGTATTCCAGAGAGAGCAGTGCTCCCTTCTTCTTCCTTTCCTTTGTGTGAGAGTGTAGAGAGGTCCTTTGTGGAGAGTAGAGAGTGGTGTGCTATAACCTCCTCCTAATGTGGTGTGTGAGAGTCTGTGTAGATAGACCTGAGCCGGAGACGGATATACGATCCTTACAACCTATACGGCCATACCTTCTCTGTCAATACATATATACTGAGTACAACACAGACATTACTTCAAAATATTCAGTGGAGCAAATTGGACGCTTTTAAAAGAATGTGAATTATTTCTACACATTTGAAAACTAGCAGACCACAATAAGAACGGAAAGCACGAAATGAAAAGCAAGATTCTACACATTTGAAAATCGATAAATACATTA